TCCTCATAATTGAGACATATGAAGGTATATATTCAAATAATGTGTTTCACCAGAAAATTCCTCATTTCTATGAAACCCATATAGATAGTTTCAAAGTCAAGGTGAATTTTAAATATATCTCCGAATGTGAGCTGCATCAGATGATTGACGTTTTGTTTGATAATGTAACCTTGGTTTTTTTATCCAGGCAAAACGTTCAATTACTTGCTATCTATAATTATAATATGCCAAGAGTTAAATATTTACGTAACGAAAAGTCATTAATCATTTCAACATCATCCTTGTTATACGAAATTTGTATAAAATAATTTGACTTTTTACATTGTACAGAGAGCGTAACTTCCAACAATAACAAAGTATTGAATAAGAAAGATAAATTGATGGATGTAGCCCGTTACTACGTGGTAGGAAATCATAATGAAGAAAAGATAATTGAAACTTTCTATGTTTTCTACCACATTTATTTGTAACTAAAGTTATTGCAATTTCGTCCTATAAAAACATTTTCAAACTTATACATTAAACATTGATGTAAAGTTTAAAATATTGACGTATAAGTTTCAAAATGTCCTTATAGGACGAAACTGCAGTAACGTTTGTTACAAATATGAGTGGTAAAAATATAGAAAGTTTCGAGTATATAACCAGAAACATATACCCCTTAACGAGCAACTTGATTTATTTAGGTCTCTTCTCTTGAATTTATGAGTTTAACAACCTCAAGGATTTTCAGGGTGGTATTTGAGTTAGCATCCTGTCTCTCAAATACCTGTCCTGGCAGCATACCTGAAAATTCTAATAAAATCGATATTTCAAAATTTAGATCCCAGTTTTATACTTGATAATCGGATCAAACCCAAAACCGGTCATATAAATGAAAATTCTCCAGTGGTATTTAGACAAAAGTGTTTCTTTTATTTCATTTAAGTTAAAATAAATTAATATTACTGGAGTTTTTTCCCAACACCAAATCGTTATTTTCAACACCTCGACACGTGTTTCGATCACCAAGTGATAATTTTCAAAGAGGAAGATTAAAACTAAGAACTAGAGCGAGCTAATCCTATTTATGCTATAAAGGTAACTCATACAGGTAAATCATCCAGGCGTAGTTCTCAGTTTTAATCTTCCTCTTTGAAGATGATCACTTGGTGATCGAAACACGTGTCGAGTTGTTAAAAATAACGATTTGGTGTTGGGAAAAAACTCCAGTAACATTCATTACTACACCAAAGGTTCCAAACAGTGCATCATGAGTTAAAATACATTATTTTTAACTTTTAAGTTCGATATTGTTTAAAAACGTGTTTTTTAGTCTTTCAAACTATATTCAATCAGCCGTATATTGTTTAGAAAAATGATCACTGATATGTCCGTACAGCGCCATCTGCTCGCGAATAGATCGATCAATTATGTCGGTAATTCTGTCAAATACAGATCCTGAGCTTGAGAGTTACAAACATATATACCTACATACATAGAGATGAAGCTAATATAAATCGTGTAGTAAAAAGATAATAATGATGTAGGTGATTCACTATTCCGAAGTTCCTAGGTAGCAGTCATCTCATCATTTTCCTCAGCAATCTACGGTATTGATCAGAAGAAAAAATAATAGAATCGTTGGTCGTAGTATTTACGTATTTACTTAGGTTACGCTACGCCCAACGATTTTATTATTTTTTATCTGATCAATACCGTAGATTGCTGAGGATATTTGTGTGATGACTGCTACCGAGGACCTTCTGATTTTTTTTAGTTTTGAGTACATGATCTACATTGATATTTTTTTTGCAATAAAACCGTTCAATATAACGGTTTTTCCTCAATTTCAGTAGCCACTGTTATAACAAATTCAGATATGTATTAAAATACAGGTCCATATTCAAAGTTGATGATATAATCCAGTGAACAAAACGTCGCAAAGCAAATTGGTTCGTATCAAATTATAACAAATATGAAACGGCATTTGGAGTTTCTCTTCCTTTATTCAGTAGATACTCTGTAGGTAGAATTGTCAAATGAAATTTGACAATTCCAGTTTTTCTGATCTGAAAATATATTATCCTAGTTCCCCAAAATATAAAACTTTCGTCCAATTGAACAGACCTTGTAGGTTTTACCGTTTACGAGATAGCAATTGTGAGATCAGCTGAAAAATAACGACCTGTATATACTGTGGATAATTCTGTCTCTCTATTGGACACATAATTTCATTTTGTAGCATTTCACTGAAATTACAATTTTCAAAAGCATTTCTATCGAAATCATTTTTCAGTTTGCGAAATGAAAAAAAACACATTAAAGGATCGGTTCTCCAAAGTTCCCAGAAGCCATACCAACTTTCAGTGACAACTTCATGAAGTTAATTCAAAACTTGAAAACAGTCAACAACAACATGATTCAGTGTTCACTATAAAAATACGTCGGAAAGTAAATAATTGCTCAATTAGAGCTGTCAGTTAAAACCAGCCTTGCCACTTTGTTGCTTTTGTGTTTGAAACTCATTATCATCTATGACGAATCACTTTTGCAACTTCTGGACCCAACATCACGTTCCGGGAACTGAACAACAAGTGGATGATGAACTTCTGGTGGTGTTATTGTAAAAATAAGTTTGAAATCAGTTTCAAAGCGGTTTTTGTTGTTTGTCTGAGAAAAAAATTGGTTTATAAAAAACAAACAGAGGGAAAAGTGAAGAAAAGTTTTCGTAGTTCAGAAATGCTTGCTCGAGATAGATATCTGGTGCAAACATTCTTGGGTTTATTATTAAGTAATGGAGCTCGAATGATAGTTTGTCCAGAGAAGAAAACTTTCCACACCGGAATAAAAACACTGTCTTTGTTGAAGAGTGTTTCGCTTGTCAATTCAGGGTTATCAAAAGATGTAGATGATGACATCATCTCCCGATGATATTAACTTGGTGAGCGAAACGTGCGTCGAAATCGCGCAATACGCGTACGCAATATGCGCATTGAATCATACAAGCGAATGAATGTCATTACGTACTGTTATCGATGCCATGAAGAACTTCACAACCCATTCGTGACATGAAAACGTAATTTCATTAATGCATTGAGTGCCTCATCTTCTGATGGAACATTGTCAATCATCTTATAACGAAATTTTACCCCTTTCATATACTATGTTGTGTAGCAATCATGTGAATGATATCTGATTTGATTCCATAACGAGTGTATGGAGTACAAACAGAATTGGAAACACCGTTTTTTGCATAATGCAATATTCATATAAAAGTAGTGGTTTCGAAAGTATTTTTTCCTTTCTTGAAATTCAATGTTTATATGAAAGCAGTTGTTTCGACGTGTCTTTCTCTTCCAGTTCGTGTCTGAAACTTACTTCTCTGCATGGTCCACACATAAAATCGATGAAAAAGGGTTAGTTGGGTAACAGGATCATTTTTTTCTTAATCAAAATCAAAGATGCAAACCGAATTTTAAAGGTAGACTTGTATCACAAACCAACTTTTTCTGAGAGATTTTCAAATTATTTTTCGAAACATAATTTTCAAAGTAAAATCAACATTATGAGGAATTTGAAATCAAGAGCAATTGCCATTTCTCTGCCATTTCTTCTGAATTCCATAACAAAAATATCCAATTGGTTGAGAATTAACCAGTAATGAATGATTTCCCTAGACCCCTCATTAAAGAAATAATTAAAGAAAGGAGGTTCTCCTTCAGGGGTGAAACCCAAATATCACAAAATTCAATTTGTAGAAAATGTATCTGTTAAACTTGGAATGCTACTCGGTAACGAAGAAATAAAAGTGGCTTTTTCAAATGAAAATACAGTTGGAAAGCATTTTTTCACGAAACAAAAAACTAAAATACCACAAGAAATGCTATCCAATATTGTGTACAAACTGAAATGTGGAAGCTGTCACAAATGCTATGTTGGTCAAATCAGGCGGTATCTTGAAACACGAGTTTCAGAACACATGAGGGACTCTGAGAATATGAAAAACCCCACAGCTCTCGTTGAATATGGCAAATTTTTTATTTTGATCATCCCTCTATTCTAGATATTCAACCATATTTATCAAAAAGACTTTTGAGCGAAATGATACATATCCTCAAATGCGAAAGTGTTAACACTAGAAGATATGTAGATGGCCTTAATACTGCTCATTTCAATTTCATACGTAAAATACCAGAATAATTTACACTTTTTCACACTTTTTCTTTCTGCCATTGATATAAAAACAGACACCATCCTATCAGAATCACAAATGAAGCCATTCGTTTGTTTCATGTCGTTTTGTGTTGGTGTTGTCTCAAAAATTTGTTTATCTTCATTTTTTAAATACGTATCTAATATGTCTGATAGTAAATTAAAATAGTATTATCTTAAAATAGTATTATTGAAATAGTATTAACATCAACATGAAAAAACTACTTTTCGATGAGTGATTTAATTAAGAACTGATTAATTGAAACGATAATAATCGTATAAGTTTTGTGGAAAGTATATTTATGAAAATAAAATTTTACAGGGCCCTGAAGATGATTTTATTCGAATTCGAAACGTCGGCAAAAATACAATTGTTTTTTTAAGAAAAAATTGATCCTATTACTCAACCAACCCCTTTTTCAGAAAAATTATTGGATCACTAAAGTAGTTAACTGAATAAAGTCGATGATTTTTATAATTGAAAATCGAATTTTCTCATAGTATCATTCCCCAAACTAGGCTGAAACGGACAACAAACAACAGGTTTGTCATCGCCCTATCTGCCAACTTCGAAAAAAGTATCTCATTCATTTAGAGGACGTGAGTGAAATTAATTTCAACCCAGTTGAAACAGAGACTCAGCTGAATTTTGCCACATGAAGAAATGTCTTGTCTCAAGGTAAATAAATCATCTGAACGGGTCTTTAACAAACACCTACCTCGGGACAGTGAATTTGAACCACACTGAGTAAGTATCATTTTAAGTAATCTGCGATAAAACATTTGAAACTTCAAAAGATAACATTAGATTAGAGTGTGTTTGTGATGATTAACAACAAATTGAAATTGACTCATATTCGCGAGTGAATAGTGAAATAATTTTGGATTATTTGTTTAGGACTGTTTCAGAAAAACATCAGGTATGTGGATTAAAAACTAGTTTTTCTTCAATTATATTTGATTAATGCTGATATATGTGTTCAGTATGAAGACAACCTTAGTAGAAATTGAGACTTTCATTGTCTTGAATTATCAATAGATTCAAAAGTAAATATTTATAGGATCAAAATAAATATTTAAGAAGTGAACGACTGAGGAAGTTCAAAAACTAATACTCGTATATGACGAAAATGAATTATCACCAGCTGAAATAGGGAGGTATTATTCATATGGGTTATAATGAGGATTTCATAGCGAACGAATTGTGACATGGGATGGAAATAAAAACGAAAAATGTATAACTGATCATAGTGCAAAGATCAAGGACGGAATGCGACATTTACCCATGATATTCGATAAACCAACACATTTTACTGAAAAATCCAAGGATTATCTGGGAATATGAAAAGGAATAAATGGATGATTTGCCTTATCAGAGTTTATTTTACATATTCAACATATTACTACAATGAATTAAATACCAACACTATATGAAATAGAGAAAACATATATATGTCTGATTGAGTTTTTCAAAATGCTTTGAATGATAGTAAATTGAAAATTTTATCATTTCAGTTACATATAACAATTTTTATATCAAAATCAGAATAAATTCATTCACAATAATAATAATTTTGTTGTAAAAAATCGTAGGATGCCTGATTATGGATCCAATCTGGCAAGCAGCTCCTAACCAAGTATTTATAATGATGGATATTTAGCACCTCACGTTTTTTTACAAAAAAATATTTTTTTTTGATAATAGATACATTCTGATTCCAAACTTATTAAAAGTCATTAGTTACATCAAGCCACAGGACTTATCATCGATGTTGAACATAATCGTAAATTAATTTCTAATAATTTTTTAGTTTGTGTTGCTGTTAAAGCGTGTTTTTTGAGTTTTTATGAACTATTATTTATTTTCCATTACAATCACAACACAACAAAGTTTTTGTTTCGGGATTGAAATTAGATGATTTTAATGTATTTCCACGTGTTAAAACCGAAAGTGACCATAAAAATTATATATTAGCTCTTGTTTTCAAGATATAGTACCATTATATTATATATATGTATACTGAGTTTTCAACAAATGAAATATTTTATCACCAACAGTTGGTACACATGTTTGTTTACATAACACCCCTCTCATCAGCTGTTCTTAAGTAGTAAACATAACCTATGTGAGTTTGTCAATTGTACGCACGTGGTTGCTATTGAAATTATCGTGTGAAGTTGATTTTTAAATTAATTTAAGTGCTGATCTGAAATGCCTCGAAAGTGTGTGAATTCTGTCGATAGCTTTTGCTATATATGTGGTGAAATAACATTTAAGGCTCAGAAA